TTTAGGAAGGAGAGAGGGAAGTGGAGATTTCCGAAACCTATTCTCAACCTTTGGTAGGGAGACTATAGCAGTTCTCACATATTTATTAGGTTCCAATTGCTGTATCAGCTAATAGGATAAACAGCAAGCTGTGCCTACTATGCCGAAAACATATTTTGAAAGAAAGCATGTGTTAGCACAAGGAGCTCCTCCTTTTCTGCTTTTTTTTACAGTGCAATTAATTACTGAGTTCATTAATTAATGAACATATTAAAGAAAGACACCATTACCGACGAGTGGAGACCAGATATATTACTGAGTCAATAAAGTATTGAACACAGAGAGAGACCTTTTGGTAGATTTTTTCCTCCCTTCATTTTGTAACCTACAATCACATATATTATTCTTGCCTAGTCAGCAGTTTTGTGGCTGCTCTTATATTTCATATTTCTAATTCCTTTAATCAGTGATAGGTACAACAGTGTTTTACAACCTTGCTAATGAACAGTTGGTCAGTTAGCATACTTAAATGTCAGGTGTAATACAGCAAGTTCTTCTTCCCTCATTCCACAATGCTTTTAAGAGTCTAATATAAAGCAGCAGCAGCTGGAGATTTAAAAAAAAGACACAAGGTTTGTGCAGAAGACAGGAATCACCTGGGGAAAGAAAGACAGCCAACACTTATTAGAGTCTACAGAATAAAGGAAATAATATATAAAACATCATTTATGTTAATACTTGTAGAATTAGTCTGCATTCTCCATATATGCTGAAAAAGATCACACCTATTTGATTGGGGCTGTTGCCACACTGCATAATTATTGCAGTTTGACACCACTTTAACTATCATGCCTCCATCCTATCGGGTTTGTAGTTCATTGTGACACACTCAAATCCAGGATGTATTTTTGTACTTAGTGGGTGCTGCCATCTGCATGAGAGGAAAATACTAGAAGACCTTTGCTACTGAAATGTTCAGTAACACTGATTTAAACTTAACATCCAAATATGTTGCTAGCCTAGTCCCCAAGACAAGGCTACCACCACACAGGAGAATTAATGCAGTTTGACACCACTTTAACTGTCATGTCTCCAACCTGTCAAGACCTGCAATTTGTAGTTTGTTGTGGCACTAGAGCTCTCTGACAAGAATGCTAAACTTCTCATAAAACTTCAAATCCATAGGCTGGAGCCATGATAATTAAAACAGTGCAAATGGCAATAATTCTGCAGTGTAGATGCAGCTTGAGTTATATTGAATATTGTAGTCCATCCCTAAGCTACAGGGGACTCTGCAGAGTAAACTTCAACTTACTCAGTGAGTAAAGTATGGAAAGCAAAACTGCTTCCCACACCCCTCTACTCTGAGCAAAAGAAACATCTATTGACACACAGCCATTTTGTATTCAAGTCTATAACACCATCTATAAACAACCTGATTTTATACATATTTACCTGGAAGTAGGTATCTCCAAGTTCAATTAGACTTCCATGCAAAAGTGTATTGGACTGTAGCCAAAATCAACCTTTTGAGACAAAGGTAGTTAGTTCCTATAATGTAAAGATTCACAATTATATAAATCAGTTGAGGCAGCATTCAGGAAATTCTGATATTCTTGCTATTACAGGTATCAACCCCCTCCTCCTTGCCTTTGACCTGAAGTAATCACTGGTTGCATCTAAATTGGTGGAGTGATCATTTCCTGGCATTTCGAGTAGTTACAGTACATTGTTAATGTGTGAATGATGAATATAATTCCCTCCATTTCAAAAATCGGTGTGCAAATTAAGTCTAAATGCATGCCATAAATTTACTAGTAGTAGTATAAGGAGCACAGGTCAACTTTAGCACTATTTAAAAACTGAGGTGCTGGCCTAAAAAAAATCTGGCTCATTATTTATGTATTTGCTTTATAATATAAAGAAATTGTCTACTTTTCCTCTCCAAAGTAATTGTTCTATTTGTACAAAATGACTTTCAACCCTGCTTGCTTAAATTCTGTTTTAAGACGAGGAGGTTGGTTGTAAAGGAAATGTATAACTTGCCAAAAGGTAAACATTTGGTGCCTTGTTAAAAAACAAACAAACAACGGAAAGATGGAGGCTCATGAAAGTTGCTCAGTGTCTTTAGAGTTAATTTAAATGTTAATCTCTCTTCTCTGTCATTGTACTGGTGTTTGGGAACAAACACACTCAGTCAGTTACCATTCTGGACTACATGTCTTACATGTTTCCAAAAGCGAGGAGGGAGCCTAAAACATTGGAACTTATTTTGAACAGAGTCAAGGGTAGCAAAAGAGACCTTTGCTCTGTATTTATGTATATTTGAGTGCCTACTTCATTCTTGGTTATAATTAACATGGGTTGCATGTTGCAATGTGAAAACAACTTAAAAGAAATCCTTTGGGCATTTGAAAGTTAAACCAGAAGATTTATGTGATACATGTTTATTCTCCTGCATTTAAACCCTAAGGGTGGGATAATAATAACTTATTATTATTATTATTATTGGATAATTTTATTTATTTATATTTTTAAATTCAAGGATTTATGTCTCACCCTTCTCCCACAATGGGATTCATTATGATGATGAGGAGGATGACTTTGTTGATCCTCTAAGTGGAATTGCTCTGTGACTATGATAAAAGTACTTTTTAATGCCTTTTCCCAAGGTTTCATTTAAACAACAAGTTATTTAATTCCATGCCGTGTTTTGTTTTAATATGTATTATATATGCAACAGGGCAATGAAAATGTCAGCTATTCTGCAAGCAAATATTTCAAGAACAGCAAAATCCTTCTAGATATTTATATTTTATACCCTAGCTCCAAAGGCTATCATGGCATTCTGCACATTCATTTTGTATTGCTATTCCTTGTCCTAAAAAATCAACTCTAGAAGACAAGGGAGCCTTCCAGAGAAGTGTGTAACACAGCTGAAGCAGAGGTAGATTCCTGGAAGAAGAATCAAATACCTGCTCTACCCTATAGACTTGGAAGCATTTTGGATTGTCATTTTGGATCGCATTCTGATTGTTATGATTCTGATTCTGATAAGAAGTTTAAAAACATTGGTTTCCTTTTTTTTCCCTTCTAGGCCATTCGCTGTACATTGGTAAATTGCACATGTGAATGTTTCCAACCTGGGAAGATAAACCTGAGAACCTGTGATCAGTGTAAACATGGCTGGGTTGCACATGGTAAGAACAACCTTATTTTTCTTTCTCCTTGTTTTGTTTCCCTTGAGGTGTCTGTGTGAGTGTGCATGCAATATAATTATGACATTATCTAACTCTGTGTGTGTCTGTGCATGCATGTGCATCATTGCAGTGTGAAAAGTTGCGCACTGTGGACTGTGTTTGGCATTTTATCTTCTGAAGAAGAGTGTAGAGTGAGGCTGCTTTTGTTTCAACACAAGTCATAGAATCATAGAGTTGGAAGAGACCCCAAGGGCCATCCAGTCCAACCCCCTGCCATGCAGGAACTCCCAATCAAAGCATCCCTGACAGATGGCCATCCAGCCTCTTCTTAAAGACCTCCAAGGAAGGAGACTCCACTACTCTCCAAGGGAGTGTGTTCCACTGTCAAACCGCCCTTACTGTCAGGAACTTCCTCCTAATGTTGAGGTGGAATCTCTTTTCTTGCAGCTTGCATCCATTGTTTCGGGTCCTAGTCTCTGGAGCAGCAGAAAACAAGCTTGTTCCCTCCTCAATATGACATCCCTTCAAATATTTAAACAAAGCTATCATATCACCTCTTAACCTTCTCTTCTCTTAAGTAGCTTAAATGAGAGTGGAAATAATGAGCGTTCTGTTGTATACATTGCAAAGAATGTATTTTAGCCTCTACAAAGTGGTCCAGTGCTCAGAATTACCCTTCTGATGAAATGTCTTTGTGTCTGAGGTAGACAGTTCACGCGTGCACATTTCCCTCCATACAGTGGGCAGGGCAATGCTCCTCTTATTGGGCAAAAGTGGATTATTTTTTGAAAATGCAATATGGTCACATACCCTGGTAAATCATGGCTCTAGCTAGTTTAAAGGGACATGTAACTGCTCCTGAAGAACCCAAATGTCATCCAAATGTTAATCCAGGGGAGGGAAACCTGTGCCTCCTTTCCCTCCTGGGCATACCATACTCAGCCTCCAATCCATAGCTATAGAAGGAGGGAAATCTCCACTTAATGGTGGGAGATACCAGTGGGGATTCCTTTGAATACTACATCACACACACACACACACCCCACACACAATGATAAGCAGTAAATGAAGAAATCCCTGCTGTTATCTTGTATCATTAATTATTATTTAAATAACTTCACAACTGATAGTCTGGTGATAGAAAGCTGTAGCTAATCAGAATCAAAAGTTTCCAAAATAATAACCACTTCAGAGAATGAAGGACAGAGATAATGGGTTTAAGCCTGTCTGTCCCTAATGTGATTTACTATGACATCTGAATCAAGCCATAGGAAATAAAGTCTACACTGGCTTTCCATTGTTTCATTAGTCAAAATAGTCAGTTAAATTGCTGCCAATAATACGTTTATATTAGGTTAATCCTGTTTATAGTACCATTGTGCTGTGGAGCTCCCAATCCATGTAAGAAATAGCCAATAATTAATAAAGTGTGATAGAAACTGAAAAACATTAGAGTCTGTCTTTCAGAACCTGGATAGCAGATGGAAGGTGGTATGTTCTACATGGGTTGAATAAAACCTTGGTGATGATTCACCCTCATAAATGGTGTCACAGTGGCCTAGATAATCTATAACACAGGGCACAAGCTGGAAGGTATGTCTTGTTTGAATCTCTACAACTGTAACTTGCATGTGTGCAGGACCATGTACATTCTTTGCCCACTACCACTAGAAATTCACTTTATAGTTAGTCCTCATGGTAACAGTGTTAACATAATGATCCAGCATAATGGTTCAGGTACCAATGTGTTTCAGTGGTAGCAATTGTTATACCCCACTTTACCAAATCTCCAAGCTGCTTTGTAAAAACCTACAAATTTTAGCCAGTGTGATGTAGTGGTTTGGGTGTTGGACTATGACTCTAGAGACTAGGGTTCAAATCCCTGCTCAGCTAAAGACAAACCTTGCCAGGAGGATACCATGATAGGTTCACCCTAGGGTCGCAATATGTCAGAAATAACTTGAAGGCACACATCACCAGCAGGAGAAACAGCAGCAGCAACAACAACGAATTTTAAACACCTATTGTTAATAGAATTATATGTCCAACTGGTTTCAGTGGAAGAGAAACTCAGGGTGCTGTACATGATTTTACATCATAGTAAAGATAAACATTGGGCTTAGAGACAGTACAGTAACATCCAAAATTGACAAAACAGTAATACTTTTATTGATCATTCATGCTGGCAGGCCTTTCCTCCTTCTGGCCATGGGGATACTCCAGGAGATAAAATTTAAGTTCCATTAGAAAGACAAAAAGAGATGTTTCTCTTGAGATCCAAGTTGCCCCCCCCCCTTGTGAAGTTACATGCTCCTTTGTTAGGCAGAGAGCACTGAATTTCTAAAGAAACCCTCCATGTTTTGGTATTACAGGAAACAGTTTTAGGATTAGTCCATGATCTCCCCACATTATTAATTATTAGATGTCTAAAGATGTCAGCTTTCATCTTCTTAATCTAAGGAAAACATTTTATCCTTATTGTCAAAATCTCCTTTTGAAAAAAATGTATTTAAATTTTCATGGACAAATTCTAGTTTGCCTTGTTTGTATGTTACTAGCTATGTTTGTCAATAACAATAAGCCAGGAAACAGCAAAGACCCTGGTTTATTGACAGGAGTCACTAAACAGTGAAATAAAAGGTCCCTTTTGAAGTCCTAGCTGAAAATAAATACATTTGATTTGTATCACAATCCCAAAATGTGATTGAATAGAAAATAATTTATCATACCAGCAACCTGCTGAACCTTTCGCTGTTCTTTTAAACAGAATGGACCCTAGTTTGTTTAAATTTTAGCTAGTTTCACTTTCCATTCATTACAGTAGGGTGAAATCAGGCTTCTTAAAATTCAGCTTTTACAAAATGAAAATGTGGGAGGAGATAGGTCATGACAGGGTAACTGCCCCCACAATTGCAGAAGAGGATGTGAGATTTGCAGTGCCCACATTTTTTTAAGGTTTTGGAAATATTCCAAAAAGCTGCTAGGGTCCATAGAAAAGTTAGGTGACCGAGGCAGGTTGTACTTTATATAATTTTTTTAACAAAAATATATATTTTAGGAACCAGGAAAACAAACACAGACTCTAATCCAGATACTTTAGATGTTGTCTTAATCTTTGTCAGCAGACTTTGTTCTGAAAGGTCATAGACTGTATTTTTAGATGTATTTCAGGCTCAAAACAGTGTAAACAGTCACCTGAATCCTAGTAGTCATCTCTACTATAGTGGAGTCATTGAATTAGTTTTTAAATTGGGAGTCTCACTGATTCAATAGATCTCTCCCAGTTGAAACTACCAACAGGATTTGAGACAGTGAAGGCACAAAATTGTATCCTCAGTGCTCTCTAAATAATGCTAATGGTCAGGACTTGCTTGTTTTTAATTTGTTGTTGCTGCTGCATGCCTTTGAGTAATTTCTGACTTATGGCAACCCTAAGGCGAAACTATCACAGGGTTTTCTTGGCAAGTTTCTTCAGAGGGAGTTTGCCATTGCTATCCACTGAGGCTGAGAGAATGTGACCTGCCTGAGGTCACCCAGCGGGGTTTAATGGCCGAGCTGACATTCAAATCCTGGTCTCCAGAGTCATAGACCAAGCCTGAAACCACTACACAATGTTTTGTGTCACATAATATTCACCAGTCGTTCACTAGTTACATTTCACTACTGACAGAAATAGCTTAATCATATATTTAAGTTCATAGTATATAAAACTTGAAAGCTTTGTAACTGTATGTACTATATAACCTTAGCATTAGTACATAAAATCTATTATAACTACAAGCCTTTCTGCAGTCTGGTGCCAATTGGCATGTATTGGCTTAACCTAACCCTAACCTACCTCACAGGATTGTTGTAAGGATAATGGGGTGGATTAGGGAAGAAGAGTACACTTCTTTGAGAATCTTGATGGAAGAACAGACGGAAAATATGCAAACAGATACTTTTTGGTTTGGGAATTATTTTTGGATAGGCTCCTTCTCCAATATATACTTTATTTCCATTAAGTTGCCAGTCTTTCATTGGGATTTTTGTTAAACTTAATCTCAGTTTACCAGTGCAAGATGACTTTCCCCTCCACAAACAAGCTCTCTCAAGGCATGTGATGGATTCTATACAATGGGTAGCAGGAAAGGACTTTAAAAGACATATGGTTGTCTACTCAGTTTGGTTGTTGTTTTTTTCCTTGCCTTTCCTGATTATAAGAAATGTTCGTAACACATCTCTTAGTTTCAGTACTTAAAATCCCAGTTCAGGAGATGGGTATATAAGTATATGAACAGAAATTTACATTGGAGAATTTCATCCTGCCAGTATGCTTAAATTTCTTGGTTCTCTTTGAATAAATCCAATCACTGTGTTTACATTTTGTGGCAAAACAAGGCTGGTGATATATACAGATATATTTTCCTCAGACACATTCCAAGCATATGTATATAAATTAGTACCTTAAGACTGTGGCAAGTCATCTTGACTTACTCAGTTTAGCTGCTCTCCAGAATCTTTAGAGGGATGTTCCTTGAAGGCTAATTAATGTTTTGCAGTTAGAGCACTGGGTTTTGAAATTACAGAACAATAAAGGAGAGAAGAGAATTTGGTTCCATTCTCACAGCACTGTAAAAGTACAAAGTTTGCACTTTCCAAATCAAAGCACAGAGTGGAAAGCACTTATTTTTTGGTATTTATACTTTTCAGAAGATAGAAACACATTCTTCTGGCGGGAAATTATCTACAGTAGATACACTATATTATACACTAATATGTATTTTGGTGAAAGGATGCACAAAACATGTATTCCCTATTGACAAGGTTATCAAGTCATGTCTGACCATAGAGGCGGTGCTCAGCTCCATTGCTAAACCAAAGAGTCTGAGGACTGCTCCAGTGGTCATGTGGCCAACATGATTTTTAGTGTACAAATTTTCATATACACATTTATGTACACCCACATTTTAACATTTTACAAGGAAATAGCATTGTTCAAATTGGAGCATTTTTATTTCCATAAATTCCTTCCCACCAAAGTGGTACCTATTTATCTACTTGCATTTCCATGCTTTCAAACTGCTATGTTGGCAGAAGGTTTCCTTTTTTGAGTGTGTGTGTGTATTTGCAAGCTGACAATGCTTGAATCCATGGATAAAGAATAAGGTATTAATAACCTTATGGGAAGAAGGTATTGCAATCCAATACAGCAGTGGTTTTCAAACAGTGGTGCACAACCCAAAAGGGGAGCTCAAGGGTTGCTCTGGGATGTGTGTGCAAGAAGTATAGACTCTGATTAAGTGACATCCAATCCGAGAGGCAATCCAATGCCTCATTGGATCCTGCTTGGGCAGAGAGGGCAAGAGGGAGAGGCTCAGGCCAAATATTTTGTGTTCTGCTCACTTGAAATTGAAGCGAGCTCTGCACCTCTGTCCAGCAGCCCTCCTCCCCTTCCTGTTCCTCTGGTGGGCAGGAATGCAATGGCACCTCGGTTGCATGGAGGAAAGTCCTCCAACCCTCTCCCTCTCCCTCTCCCTTCCAGTCCTTCTCTCCCCGTCTCAACTTCAGTGGCTCTAAGTATTGTGCACAGGAGAGTTCGAGGGGTTTAAAATCTGGTGCAGGCTTCCTGGTGAGAAGGGAGAGGTCCAGAGGTTTAATATCTGGTGCAGGCTCCCTGTGGGAAGGGAGATATCTAGGGGTTTAAAATCTGGTGCAAGCTTCCATCAGTCATGGGGAGGAGGAAGCAGCCCCTTGCTCTCTCCCTTTCCACCACCCTGCTGTTGCCACCTTTGCTCCTGCCCTGGAATCACTCTTCTTGGCCTGCCTGAAGTTGATTACAGGTAAAGTTGTTTTTTTTTAAATGATTTTTCTTTTCAATCTGCGGTTGCCCAAATCCACAGATACCGAATCCACAGATACCGAGGGCCCACTGTACTCCTTGTTGTAATAACCTTTGTCCTCAGAAACAAGCACATAGCTCACATCAAGTATAAACATTGTGTTGAGCTGGGTATTGGATTTATGGAAATGAAAATGCTCCAATTTGAACAATGCTATTTCCTTATAAAATGTTAAGATGTGGGTGTATATAAATGTGTATATGAAAATTTGTACACTAAAAACAATAACATATGTTTATTCATATACTGGATTGAGTGGGGGAGTGGGGTGACATGTGCATGTACATATAAATGGGAGCCGGAGGGATGGGGTTGAGAACCATTGCTATACAAAACTGGAAACCCAGTATAAATAAGAAATTTCTGAGGGATTTCTAAGAATGGGGGAAATGAAATTGATAGTTGTTCACAACACTGAAAGAAGCAACTAGCATAACATCCTAAGCTGGGTAAAGCTTCACCACCAAGTAGACCACCAAGTGAACATCAAGTGAAAAACTAAACCCAGAAAGCCTAGATCCGACTGTTCAGGGAAAATATTATCCTATCCAAAATAGGTAAAATTCCTATTACAGATTTTGTCTCCTGCCCAACTAGGAGCAATTTTGTCTTGTTTGAATTTTGCCCATTAACAACACTATGGACCACTTCAGGACATCAACTTTTTTTTTGTGGAATTAGATGAAAAGGAGGAAATAGAAGCTGTATTTCATTGGCATATTGATAACAATGCAATGTTATCTGGGAGATTTTTCTCAGGCTGCATTGGCACTGCAGAAGTAATCCACTTTGTCACCATTTTATCTGCCATGGCTCAATGCTATGGAATTCTGGGAAGTGTAGTTTTGTGAGGCATTTAGCTTTTCTGTCAGAGCTCTGGTGCCATGGCAAACTACAGTTCCCAGAATTCCATAGCATTGAGCCATGGCAGTTAAAGTGGTGTCAAACTGGATTATTTCTGCAGTGCAGATGCAGCAGTTTCATACAGTTGTTAAAAAAACAGGGAATAAA